ATAATTATTTCATCTGCCCAAGAGCAAATGGAAAAAACAAACAATAATACCATATATTATTAAAGAAATGACTGTTCTGAGATATTAATAATGGAATTGTGATATTGCTACAAGTTTTACATACAAGACTGAAACAAAGCTGAAATTTCAACTCTGTGAACAAAGCAATCAATCTGGGCTGAAAAATCTTTAAACTGTGTACAATGCATTGTGCCCTGCAGTGCCTCAAACATCGGGCAATAAAAGTGCTTGTTTCAGGACAGGTATGCTAAATCAACATCTGCTTTAACATATTGTTGGTAATGAGGAAAAGGCCAAAGTGAATGCTCTATGTAAGGAATCAATGACTAAGAAAGTAAAAATACAGTTATCCCAAGGCATGTTTAGGCAGTCAAGAAACATCCCATTTATTTGCTTCAAGTACACACCATTCAATGTTAAGGTGCAAACATATATGGTACATAACATAGCCACTTAATGCTAGATTTGTTTTTAATGTTCTGCTCATTAATGTTTAATACCTGAACATTTATAAGTTATGACTAAATATTTGATTCACCTTCTTCAATATAGATATTAGCATTGATAGGGGCAAGCTAAGTAAGCTGAACATTAAAGCAAACATATACAGTATATTAAAACAATCAATAGACAGTTGATGTATTTCTTCTCTACAGTCACAAATATCTCCGAGGCAGAATAGTGCTCATAAGCAATATAACAAAGCAAAAAGTTTAAAACAATCCGCTGAAGTAAGAAGGAAAGGAATTTCTCAAGAGTGCTCAGAGATAACCCGCTATAAAAAAAGTGTTTTACTTTTGGGTGCTTTGAGGTTTGTATAAGTTATGTGTGTTACCATTGGTAGGGGTGTAGAGGGTGTCACAAAACAAACTTCAGGTTAATACTTAAAAATACCCTCTATTTTGTTTTTGTATTCCTGTTCTGAAAACTGAAATAATTATTCATTGCAATTACTGTAATTTCTTGTTTGGCTTAATATTGTGTTGCCAATATAAACGAAATGTTATGTAGTTGTGCCTGCTCTGTAGGCTGCAGAAAAGCATACAGGTGGACTTACAGGAAATGGTTTAGGGTCAGCATTGCTATTGCAGTTATTTTCAATAATATTCCAAGGAGCAGGAAGGATGTAGAGTAGTGAAACATAGAGGGTTGTTCACAAAAGAGCTAAAGGATCCAGCTGTATCTTCGGCTGATCCTTTGGCTTGCTTTGGCTGCCTATGCCCTATGTTTCAGTCGAACTGAAGGGCTGCTGTACGGGCTATTTAGTGGCCTGGACCTGCTAGAAGACTCTGGCAGGTGCCGGCCAATAGGAAATAGTTGGGTGGAGCTAGCTGTCTACGCAAGCTCGGCCCAATTGTTTTTCTTTTGCCAGCATCTGCCATCACATGTTCATCACATGCGGTCGGGTAGCGTGTGTCATTTTTTTAATTGTTTTTTTTTTTCTTTCAAATTTTCTTATTTTCTTAACTTTTTTGAATATTCCACTTTTTTTACATTTTGTAAAATAATTTTTAAACAATTTTTTTCATTTATTTACATTAATTTCTAATAGCCTAGCCAAATGCCGATCACTGCCTTTCGACCCCTATGAGAATAGGGGCAAACGGCAGTGAGTGAGCTGCCGGAGCTTTGGCTCAGCCGATCCAGATGTTGGTTCAGCTGAGTCGAAGTCCCACTGCACTTTGGCTCAGCTGAACATGCAGAGCATGTTTGGCTGACCGAAGGTAGCCGATGTAGGCTGATTTCAGCCGATTTACGTATGTACGAGGATTTCAGCCGCACTGAGCCAAAGTGAATAGCCGAACGGCTCGTTCGGCTCTGTTCACTTTGGCTCGGTTATTCAGTCGGCTGCCTTCGGCAACTAAGTGAATAACCCCCAAAGTCTGTAGATAGATAGATAGATAGATAGATAGATAGATAGATAGATAGATAAACAGGGCATATACATTACATTACAGATCATTTGGCAGGTAAAACAGTTTCCATGTATTTTTCTCTTCTCTATTTAGTTCTTTATGTGGAGTTGTTCTTTAATATAACAAACTGGATATTAACATAATGCAACAGATAATTAAAAGGCAAATAAACCAAAATTGTACTATGGGAAAGCTTGTTAAAATACCTTTCCTCTTTAGAAAGCCAAGAGTCCTTTTTTCATGTAACAAGGAGACGCTTATACTGAATGCATTAATTGCAGTAAGGATGTAAAATCTGTAGATTAGGCCACCTATGTACAGAGTGAGTCAATTATTCTTCCCAAACACAAATGAAATAAATGGGTTGATGATTGTCTGAGAGTGTACTGTTAAGGTTTGCGGATTAGTATAGGTGTCGTTTTGACATCTTACCAATCTTTGTACTGTATGTGCCATTTATTGGAAACCCATGCTCCAGTCCATTTGTGCACAAAATAATAATTTAATAAGGAAGTATAAACTATGGCATTAGAAATTTATTTTTAGGTACAGTCATTATTAGGGGGCTAGGAGTACCAAAATCCCTTGCACCTGCTGCTACTATATAAAAACTCAACCCCAATAGATTACACATTTTCATAGACTGCGGATCTAGGGGTTAGGGGTGAGGGACTTTTGCTTTGGGGTGGAGTGTCAGCTCACCAGGCAAACGTTTAATGGTTTCAGGAATCCTATTGCCACACAATATAATGTGATAAAATAATATCAGACCTTGTGATCCAAAGTTATTATGGATGTCACATTTATTTCTAATATAAAGCCCTCCCTGTCTAAATACCCATCGTCCATCACTGTTTATAAAGAGGTTGCACAATAAGAAGCACTATGCATATACATTTAAGTAGCAAATAGGACTGCCTTTTAAAATATTTGCTTTTACCTGTTCAGGTTCATCCAAAGAATTTCCAGCAGTTGGGACTTTTTATAATAAACAGATTCTGAGCCAACTGAGTGTGAGGCTGATGCCATGAATCCAGTGGCAAACTGCCTGTTAGCCTAGAGTACACCATTATAGCTACACAGAAAAGCTTCCATATTGACTTGCTTGTCAGATCAGTTATGGTCAGGGCCAGCCATAAATGTATGGTCTATTATTAACAGTATGATAGGAAATTCCATTTAAAGTATATCTAAAGCTAAAACATTTCTTCGGTTTAGGGTAGAGCATGGCATTGTTAAAACCCCTGTTAAGTTTTTCATGCTGTCTATGTCCTACTGGGATTATTTTCCTTGACTTCCTGTTTTGAAACACAGCAAAAAAGAGAGCGCTATTCAAAATAAAGGAAATCTCTTTGACGGCTATCATTGCAAAAATGCCCCATTGGAAGAATTACTTTCTATTCCTTTTGCAGTGAAAACCCAAAATGTAACCCATTCTTAAAAGTATGAGCAGCCTTTTTGACAAATGGGGAGACTTCAGAGGCAGGAGGGGTGTGGAATACCTTAGCCTTTACAGCTTACCTATATATCTGGATCATTATATTGATCAGTTTGGCATATGGTTTTAATAAATGTTAACTTATATTTTTCATCATATGCTTAGTTTAGCATGCCTAGGTTTGACCTAACAGTATGTCAAGCTGAAAGCTATTATACTGTTGTCCAAGTTAACTTTTCTCTGTAGGCCAAAATGGAAGATATGGTCTGTTTAAAGAGTAAATGAGCTTTAAAGCTGAAGTGTAATGTATGCAAATAATAATTTCCCCCGATCAATATACATTAAAATGTTTTAATTAAATTATTTTGTTTTTTACTAAATATTTATTTTAAGATCCATGGGTCTGTCTGCTTCTCTTTGGTGGGAGAGTCCAGCAGACTCCTGCAAATGTCACAGCATTCTGCCTGTGATCTAAAAAAATGACACAAAAGAACACATCAACTGGATCTTTTTGGATGTGCCTGCTTCTCTGTGCTGGCCACTGGGTGCTGCAGACTTTAGCTGTGAAACCTAACTTGATTGCCTGTGCATTTTGAGAGTGAATTGTTTGTTTTAAAGCTTTGCATTGTTAGGTTTTTTTAAATATCTTAATGTCTACAGCTGGCTACAAGATCACTTTAAAAGAGAACTATGGGGTAACCTTTTTATTACAATAGGACATATACTAACCTCCTTCCATGACCCAAAGCTCAGTATATAGCGAGCTTTTGCCCACTATATACTGAGAGGGCCACAGCTGGGACGGCTCCCGACAATACTGTCAAGATCCACCCAGCTAGCTGATTGACAACGGGCTCTGCCTATCTAGAGGCAGGTCCAGCTGTGATCGCCCCTCCCCATCCATTCCTCCAGTCAGTGCTGGAGGATCAGAGAGGGGAGGGGGAAATCCCTGTGCGGAGTGGTGACTGACAGTCACCGCTTTCTGCAGGGAGATGATCGGGAAGTGAGTGAGCGACGGTGTGTGTTTGTTCACTTCCCGATCTATAGAGTCAACGTGTGACGGTTTCAATGTCAGACGTCAGCTCTAACTATGAGGATGATTGTAAATCACTTACCTCATAGTTCTCCTTTAAGTCTGTGCTGTACTATGATTGCATACTAAGGAAACATTTTAAAAATTAATATTAAAAAAAATAATTAAAAAATATCTAATGAACTAAAGGGTGGTTTCTAAGTTTGCATGCATAGTTTCACAAATTCAAATGTAGTATATATACATTTAGTATTTGCTTTGTCAAATAATTGTATATCACAAACTACTGTGTTTTTTGAAGTGATGTTTAATGTTTAAAACAAATATGTAACATGCATTGTGTCACATTTTAAAGGACTTACTTAATCATTCTCATCAAAACAAAAGTACTGATGTTGCTAGCAACCAGTATGATTTTAGCATATTTAAAAATGTTTATTTTAATTGCATCCTTACAATTCTTATATGATTATTACATTAAGTGGTGTCATCTTTATTGGAAGACACAACTGATTATTCTTTAATAATCTCTAGAAAGTGTCTAAATTTCGTAACGCACTTACTTAGAATATAAAATTCTTTCCTACACCAGCAAACTGTTCATGAAGAAAGCACTCGTTCAATGATTGAGGGAATGAAAGTGGATGCCTCTTATGTGCCTTCTACATACCTGGCAGAGATTGCACGCTTCCTGCAGTCTATTGCTGAGGTTGATCTTCTACTCAACTCTTCATGTTTCAATAAAAAAGACTGTGAAGACCTTGCCAAACAAGATGAGTGTCTCCAGGTAAGAAAAATCCTTGGTTTAATTATTAAAACTGGCTCATATGTCAAATATACCTTTTTCAGGACTTAATATCTAAAATTCTAATATCTTCTATTGAGTTTTCAGTATTTTTGAAAGTTTTGGTTAATTTGGGAGCATTCCATAGAATACCGGTTTAAACAAACTGAGGTTTTAGCATACCTTTTTGAAATGTTATCTGAAACATTTACAACAAAATACCTAGTTGAAGAAAAAATCAAATGTAGTTCATATGGGAGCATTCAAATATGTTGTAATCACCATTTTGCTTGGTTATCTTTTCATTTTGTGTGGTAGAATGAGAGATTCTAATTTTAATGCTGGAACATTCTGCCATCAGGAGTACATTTATTTATTTCTTGCAGTTATTAATAGAGTGGCAACAAGTTACGCAACACTTTACATAGTTGCACATTAACATCAGTCCCTGCTCTCAAGGAATTTACAATCTAAGGTCTCTATCTCACATACATACATACAGGGCCAATTAAGACAAGAGCCAATTAATCTACCAGCATGTTTTTGGAGTGTGGGTAAATGTAGCAGAAAAGTGCATGTACCACCATTCAAATCTGTTACCAGCACATTGTTCATCAAGAATCTATTAAACCATCCCCGCACTGTCCTCGCTCTATTCCATAGATGATCTTCCCCCCATGATCCTCACTGCAGTCTCTGGCAGCTCTTCATTCACTGTAACAACTTCTGCTGTATGTATCCCCCCACTCTTCAACATCTTAGGCGTCCAATGCTTCAGTATTTTATCCTTTCTGTGGTACGTAGTCTTTAAATGCTTTGCTCACTCTTCTACGACTTCCATAGTGGAGAATAATTTACAAGCACATATGATATGTCACCTAACATTTTACAAATATGCAGGAATTCATTTTGGCCTATGTCTTGCCTATTCCACTAAGCTCCATCCCTTGTCAGAGTTGTGTCATGGCTGGTTACAAAAAGTTGCACCAACATTTCACACATCATTTGAAAGGGCATGAACTGTCATTCCTCCACTAGTAGGGAGAAGCAACTGTTGACATATGACCCAGAGACTAGATTAATGTGCAGTATTACACCTACCAACACAGCACACAGCAGTGGACATCTTTTGCACAGTTATGTCTCTCTTTTGTGTCTAAAAACTGGGAGGCAGAGAAGCTTTATGATTTATATTCAACCGTGAAACAGATATTAGTCAGCCTCTCACTCCTTCAGCTACCATTTCTTTTCCTTCTCTCTATCCATAATCAGCTTCTGTTGTAATAAAAGGTCCAGTCCATGACCAGGTCCTCCTATGTAAACTATAGCACACAATCAGCTTGCTCCTTTCCAGCTATCAGCAACAACCAGCCCTCTGCCTCCTCTCTCCCCTTTTCACAATCATTTTACACTCTGCCTCCATACTCATCAGCCCCCATCATCATCTACTTTTACCCTCACCCAGAAATGATTAGCTCCCATGCTGCCTACTTTTCTAATGGTCAGCAATGAGTTCATGTTCAGTTATAGTGTATGTGTAAGTTTATGTGCGTATGTTGAAATGGGCATATTGTTTATCTAGCTTTGTTTATTGAATATGTATTTCTTTATAAAAAGAATCAATCACTCTTGTACAAGCCTAAAACAAAATAGAGGTTGACTTTACTTGCAGAAGATTTGCATGAATGAAATTATGTTTTGTAGACTAATACATAGTTTATGGTTTACTGCTCAGAGAAGACAGAATAAGGTTTGATATTTTCTTTCAGTAGCTATGATTTAACTGCTCAAGTGATTGTGTACGGTGATCAAACAATACACAGGAGACAAAACCTGCTATTTACACCAGCACCTGATATTCATTTTTGAGCTTCCAAATAGTCACTTATGGGGTTCCTTGCATCCCTGCTTTACTTATTTCAAAACATAGGGATCATATTTATGCTAATGTATATCCATTTTTATAATTTTCCTTTTTCTTATTTTACATTATATTGATCATTAATTTAAAAAAAAATTAATTTCACACCCTGGATTTGATTCATGCTGCAACATTCCTGGAAGCAGGGAGCTTGTGCAGCAGAGCATGGCTAAATAGAGTTTTCACCCAGAAACACCCAGAGGTACTGAAAAATCTCTGCTCTGTGCAATATTGTATATTACCCAAAAACTGTACAAAAAAAGCCAAAACTACCACCTCACTTGTGGTGTAAAATTGACATTCCATCCTCTGGGGAAAATCTTAGTATTTATAGATATGGGGCACACATGCACACTTCCCCTGGCCTCCTACATCCTCAATAGCCAGTCTTAAACACTAAAACATAGAGGTGGAGGACGTGCCTATCACATATGTTATTTTAAGTATTTCAAAGGGATCTTGGCACGTGCTTTAGCAGTACTACAGGATTTGACTTTAGGAATAGCACAATGTTTCCTGGATAGCATTAGCAGCTCCCTAAATGATTTTAGTTTACTGGCAATGCACTTTAAATGGAACAAACAAAGCAAAAACTACTTTCAACCAGCTTTCAAATGCAAAAGAAACTGAATGAAACAAGGTAACATACCATCAACATTTTAGATCATTTTGTGGGATGAAAAGGATTGTTAGTGGTAGGCGGCATTTCTCTGTTGCTGTATGATAATGATTGAAATTAAATGGCTGGATTGATTCTGTCATCTAAAGACCTGTAGATGTAGCTTATACGTTGATATGCAGACCTCCCATATCTGTGAGAACAATTGATGTTTTTTACATTACAAGTTCCTTAAACGACCAACTACATCTAAATTGGCAATAACAAGCCTGTGCATATCTTGGACAAAATAACTCATTCATAGCCACTGTATGTGCTTTTCAAATAGATTTGTATTGTAAGATGCCCTCATTTGATGTGCATCTTTATTCATTCATAAACAGAAATTAGTCCAGTCATATTTTGTCGACCAATAATGGCACACTTTGGTTTATATTTTAAACTGTCAGAATGAAACACACAACCGTCCTGCATTAAGGATTTTCTTTATCCTGCTGTTTGTTTGCTTTTGACATAAAAAAACTTCTGGATATAAATCAGTTAAACCACTAAGGCTAACAAACATCTGATAAAAGTTTATACAGATGATCTTTCCATATCCATAGCTAGTATCTTGTTAATAGATCTGTTTTAAAGAAGACCTACTGTTTTTGCCTTCTCTAATACACACAAATGTTCTGCTTTTCTTCTTGTATTAAAAGCTCAAAACATGGTATCTTCTTTATATTTCACTTGTATACTAAATTCTCTAATATGTATCCTGTAGATGTCACTGTTACTATAACAGTATGGCAATGTTCCCTTAGTGGTAACATATACTTTAAATATGGCAACAAATACAATAGTTCATTTGTGTAGTAATTTGGTAATAACATATGCCTGGTATTATTTAAACATAATATACTTTTGTTGCATTTTTCGATAATCATACAGGTTTATTTTTTTAATGAAAAATAAAAAGATAATACTGGTGATTATCATGTTAATGCCTGGATGATATTGAGTGATCTGGTATTTTGCTACGAGTACAGTCAGTTGGTGTCTTTGATGAGCAATTCTACTATATATAAATAGTGAATCAGTCAATGCACTGTGCAATAATGATATTCTTTAATCTGAGTTTCTTGTAATCAATTGTGGCTAGAATTTGCAGACTCTTACCATGCGGGTAGGTGTTTTGGTTTGCTACAGCCTGTCCTATGCATGTCCTATGTAACTTTTTTTCTCTGCTTGATGTATCACTCATTCAAATTAAATGCTCAACTATTCACTACTGATACTGTTATACATGAGGCTTTATGTAAATGAAAGATTAAAATAAACCTACAGTGGGTATGTTTGGGAAAACTTCTCCTATTTGTGAACAGATAAGGAAATGGGGCTCCCAAATTGCCAGGTTACCAACAAAAGGATCTTTGGTAGAGTACTATAGCTATACATTGATGAGAAATTGAAATACTGAGCAGGTAAGTTGTGCTTTATGTTAGCATTTCCATGATCGATTTTCAATTTTGACTAAAGTGTATCTCTAAGTGAAACTGAGCAGCTAAGCCACGTGACTGTGTCTGTACATTAAACATTCTTGAATGTTCTATTGCTTTATAAATCTTCAGAAGACATTTTTTACTGCAGTGCTCTATCTATTTGTGTACATTAGTGTAAATATATCACAGAAGAAAAGGTTTGATTACAATCAATTACAGCTTAGTTAATACAGTAAAAATGATGCATAGAATTTACTTTACTATCCTATAACATTTCATGTAATAGCCAAAGACAGTCTTATTTTTTAAAGTCCACAACTATGCTTCACTAAAACCCCAGAGACTGGTCTACATGGTTGGACAGTGACATTTGTTTTTATGGCAGTTACAAATTCAGTGCAGTGGGTTTCATTTATCTTTGACTTAGTAAATCAGAACATTGCCTAAATCCACTTTATCTGATGTATTACACAGTGCGGGAGGGTTTATCTGCATGATGTAGCCATAGATTGGCTTTGTTCCCTTAGGTAGTTACCAAATAGACAAAACTATTTGTAGGCAGTCATGCCATTTATCTTTCTTTTATTTGTTTTTTTGTGGGATTTGTGTTAAAAAATTGTTTGAGTTTGGTGTTTTTCCATTCACCTCTCCTAAGAACATCAAGTGCTTTACAGCTGCAGTTTAATTTACTTATATTCTGCCTTCCTTGGTTCCTTCTGCCCCCCCCCATCAACCTACTCAAAAAATTATTAAATAAAACCTTTCATAGTAGGGGTCGGTAGGGTACTGTACATACAGTAGCTTCCTGAAAACAGGAAGCTGCGGCAATGCCTACATGTGATTAGCCTACATGACGGAAAGAACTGAAATACAATATATAAAAGGGATGGGACAGGGACTGTTTGGCTGGGGATCCTAGATAATATTGAATGTCCTCCAGCCAGGAATTAAGGTGGGCTCTATCTGACATGCTTCAGCT